AAAAATAATGCGCGACCACAATACGATCGGCCAAATCAATAACATAATGGATATAAGTTGACAATAAATAATAATGTTTCGCGTGTTGCGAACAAAAATTAAACAATAAACAGTTTACTGTGTACGACATGATACTGGGTTGATAAAGATGATACGACCGGGCTGGTATGATTGACCCGGAACGACAATCCGCGGGTTAGGTTATACACCTATGTGCTTATACAATATACTTAACAATACAACAAAACTCAAAAAGCACAGTCCCCGCTGCGTGCGACCACCCAAACACAGTCACAGACGAACGACGAATTCACACTGCAGCCAAAACACAACACAATTCGAAACCACGTTAATCACAATGACCGCTGGTAGATATGCCTAAAACCAAAAAACTATCAAAACCCGCAACAAATAGTTGCTAGAACGATAAATACCAGACGGCCAATAAACAGAAACAACACAAGACAACGTGGTTTAACAAATGGTTGCAGACGTACGAAAAACTTGACAAAATGAATGTTGATGTGCACACCACGAAGACACATGGAAGAGAGCGAGACCGGGCCGACGACATTCACCAGGAAGGCTAAGGCCGCCGGACACCACAAAATTAAGATAAATGTCTCAGTGCCACCACACTAAACCAAAAAACACGAGAACTTACGAAACTTTGTGGCACTGAGAACATGACTTTGACTATTATAAAACATAACCGGAAAAACTCTGAAAACGTGGACTAACGGACACATTTACGCGCGACGATAACAGCGCGATTACGTACCCGGCCCCGGTCGCACACGGAGGCTTATCACCGCCGCCGACGATGGCAGCGGATACGCAACGCACCGCTACGCATCGCACGAAAATGATAACATGAACAAATGACAAATAACAATATTGGCACAAACAGCATACAACCGCACCAAATTCAAAACTGAATTGTATGCCCAACATTCTGTGTCACCATCCTTGTTGTGTCAGTACGTTCGTCGTTGTTTGGTTCGTTGCAAGTACACTGGGCAACTACGTTTGACTTGTTGCCATACGTAAGTCCGCCAGCACCCGACGTGGTGTGTGTGTGAGGCCGTCCAGTACTTCTTGTCAACATCGTTACCTGCAGTAATTTTAAGTAGTCTGTAAGTTGTGTCCTGAATGTTTAATTGTTAATTATTCGTCCGATCTATGTGTGAGCTCCGTGGTCATTGCACGAGATTGATTCGACCATATAGACCTCCCCCCAATAACTAAACTCAACTTCCTGTTTTCCCTTGAATAACTAAATTGTTTCCGTTCCTTTCCGGCGTCGCCGTCAAACGCTATCGGCCCATCGTGTACCTGAGTTGTCTATCTACAAAGGCAGTACACGCAGTACGCATGGAGTAGGTAAAATTGCCTATACGATTTATTATAGGCACCCGCCACATTATTATTTATAATTTTGTTAATTGACAGTTTAAATTTCACGTTTCCAAACCAATCGCTTTCATTGATATACATGTGTAATACACATTGTGTATATATGTTTATGTATAAATACAGTGTTTGGAATGAACGTCGTTCGTGAACGCACGTCTTAGCGTTCACGTTCATACTTTGTGAACGACACGCGAACTTTAATCGTTTTTTTCAAACAGAACGTAAACATGGACGACGTTTATAGTCTTAATGAATCCGAACAATTTTTGGGACGTTCAAATTGATTTAACATTTCGAAAATATATGTATAAATAATAAATATTAATTGTAATGCGTTTAAATATAGGTTTTAAACATAAAGTAAAATATAACTAATACATGTTGTAAAGGTCCCATTTATACAGAATGCAGGAAGGTAATTCATAAATCTGAAATAAAAACATTTTTAAGAACGGCCAAATGAATGCGTTCGTCTTTTCATCGAACTTGTTCGTGATCACTTTAAAAAAAAAAATTAACATCAATGCGAACGAGTTCAATTTTTAGGCCAACGTTCCGAACACTATTCACGTGTACTCATATCGACTTATACACGACATATGCACTGCGATAAGATGGCGCCGTGTTATACGTTGCCGATTAGGTAGGAAAAAAAAGAAAAAAGGCACGTAAAAATTATATCCAATTATTCAAACGTTACGGACCGAGTCGAAGAGCACATTTTTAATTACAACGCATACCGAAGTGTGTGCTCGTGACGCAGAAACGACTTCGTACACCCATCGTATACGTATTACGTTTTGAAGTGCAGACGAATGCACCGAAAAATTCAATGTGTCCAACACGTACATTGTATATTCGTCCAAAACCGTTTCGGACGGTTCAAAGCGTACGCACATAATGTTAGTGGTGTGCCTGTAACGTGCGTACAATTCAAATACATATTTTTATATTGTACGCATAGGCGTGTCTAAATTTTTTCACAGGTATGGCCAATAAAATTTTTCATTAGGAAAATTGAAGTTTTCATTTAGATATGAAGACAAAGAGTGACATATACACAATATACTACCTCGAACGTACATGTTTAGTATTTGTAGCTACTACAGTAGCTATGGCTAGTAAATAATATACTCACTTTCTTCAAAAAAAAAATAAATAAAAGGTCTATAACATAATATACAACTACGCAGGTCCTTATAGCTATGAATATTAGATAATAAATATTATTGGTTTGTTTATGTCACAGACATATCATATATATGTAGGTATAACATTTTATGTGAAAATATTTAATATTTAGTTCTGTTTTATTTAATCATTCTTTTTACTTCTTTTTACTTTTTAGTAATTATTTTTAATGATTTAAGCATAAATTTAAAACGGAGCTGGATTTTGCAGGTCTGGCCATTGCCAGATTGGCCATAGCCGTAAAAACGCCTTTACTTGTACGCGTTACAAAAACGTAGCGTTTTCAATATTTTCACTCATCGGGGCCCATTCTCGGTTGCCGCACAACAGTATTGGATACATTTTCTAATCGTTCCTCCGGCAGTGCGTTCCCTGCGCTTTGTTATACTCGACCTGCTACGATCGCAATATGTAGTGCACGATACATAATTTCGTATGTAGCAATACGGTGGTGCAAACAGAAAAAAAGATGGATTTTTTTTTTTAGTTGGAAGTATAATATTCGTTTATATAGTCAAGTGCCGCGTTGACTGAAAAACCTATGAATTCATATGTATAGGTAAATATATTTTTTAATCATTTTTATCAATACATGTTAATATTATCTTTTTGTGAATGACACACCACTAATTGTTTTTAATTGTATTTTATTCTTATCTTTATTATTATTTATAGTTTTTATTAAATTTTATTAATCAATGAAACTTGAGATCCTGAGTCATAAATCCCTTCTATTTTTATTTTATCTTCTAAGACAATGTTTAATTTAATTAGTGGTGTGTTTATTCGTTTTTTGTTTTATCAGAAACTTCTACGTCTAAGATAGAATTGTTATTTACCTTTCTTGTTGTAGTGTTTTTTTCTCTATTTTCTTCATTCCTCTTAAACCAACATTTTTCATTAGGGTAGTATCTTACACATTTACCCAAATCTTCATATATCTTATAAGGTTTCTTTTCTTCATATTTGATATTTCTTTGATAGTCTAATGTGAATTTTTTTTGAGGATTTTTTTTTACTTGACATTCGAGCTGTCTCAAATTATTAAATAAGTCTGTTGTTTCTTTTAATTCTGATTTATCAATTTTGTTCAAAATAAATTCTGGTAGCCCTACTGCTATCAACGCTATAAGTGATTTAATATCCATATTTTTATTAAAATCTATTAAAAGTTTTTCTTTTTTCATAGCATAATCATTAACGAACCTTCCCGGTATTTGAATGATAGTGCATAAGTAACATTATTCCATCCATTATCTATAAAGCATTCTAAAAATATTTTTTTCCATTCTGACCAACCAGCATTTATTGTTAATCTTATGAGTGTAAAAGAGTACCAATCTAAATTTGGTTTGTCCAAGAATGATTTTAATAATTCAATTTTATCCTCTTTTTCATCTATTTGAAATCTAGAGCACTCTTTTTCAAAGCTTTCCATCCACTGGTTAACATTAATATTTTTGCTTGAAAATTTTTCTATCAAAAGTTTGTCTGCTATTTGTTTTAAGTTCTTTTATTTACCTTTATTTTGTGTTGTTTCTATCAGTCTTTCTAATATCCCTTTCAGATTATGATCCTGTGTTTTGTTTAAGTTCTCTTCATTTATTTCCTCTAAGTATTGGTCTTTAAATTGTAGATTTTCATCTTCGTCAATATATACCTCCTCTAATTCTTTTGTCATTGTAATCCACACTTTTCTTACCTGATTTCTGTTCTTTAACGAATTAACTACTTTTGTGTAATAGTTTGAATTTCTCAATTCTAAATGACTTCCCATATATCTAAATTCTTCTGGCAATATATACCTTTTTCCATCCTCTGTACTAATTGAGGTTATGGCAATTACATTTATTTTTATATCTTTTGGTGAAGCTACTACCGTAAATTCAAACTGTAATCTTGACATCATAAACAAAAATTGTTGTTTTATAATGGAAGTTATTGGATTTTATTAGATAATAGTAACTAGTTTCTCTGTAAATACAAAAGTTTATTTATTATTTATTATTTACATCATTTACAAAAAAGACAAATTTACCTGTAAAAACAAAAGAAACAACAATTTATGTTACTATTGTCACTCTTAATTACTAATAATAATTTAAAAAAAACAATATTAAAATCAACAAAAGTTAAAAGTGAAGTTAACAACCTTAAAAAAACAACCTATCAATTTTAGAATGTTATCACCTTATCGATGTTTAATAATAATAATAATAATAATAATATTTACAAGAAAGTATTTTCTTTACATATATATATATATATAAGTACACCTCTATTTATGCACACGATGTACATGATTGTAAAAGGGTTGTACGAGTACAACGGTGGGCGGTGCGTAAAAAAAATTCCGTGTTGACTACCCCTCGTTCAGTCGACGGAAAACTCCAGACTTAGCCCACTGGTCGAATAGAATTTTTTTTCTCCTTTGAACACGTGCGCGGATGAAACATAAAAACTCGTTTCATTGTTGTAGAAAATGAAAAAAAAATAAATAACCTAACCGCCACCGGTGTGCGATGTCGTCGTACAACTATATTATATACTTCACGAACATTTTATACGCGACTAGTTATTAGAAATATCTATATTGGTACCTGGTATAGTATACACGGTATAACCTAGTGTCGAGATAACTACATAACGACTTAATTATTTGGACCGCGAGGCTGTATTGTTCGGGCTAGCAATAAATTCAGATACACACGTACAAACACGTACACTTCCCAATCCGGTTATCGTTCGTCCATCGTGCATATTTTGTATATGTATGTATGTGTAATAATTAGTCGTCCGTCGGTCGGTGTGTGTGTGTGTGTTCACCTCCTAACCTACACATACGTATTATTATAATACGCGCGAGTATATACTGTGTACTGGGTATTGAGTTATTGCACCGCGATCGGATGTGCACAATGCCACAACACACATACGAACGTACAACCATATATATTATGAATGATGTGTTTTATTTTACAGAACGTTTCCGGCCGTCAGTACGCGTACCTCATATTATAATAATATATACGCGAAGCGCACGTGTATAGGGAAGACGATGCGAAGTATGGTTATTTTTTCATTTCTAGATTATTAGATATTTATAATTGTTATTATGTGCATGATTATGACATAACTATAATACACGAGTATAAAAATTAAATAATTGCCTCCAAAGCACGCCTGAGCATTAACATCAAATTTCTCTGGCCCAAGTGCAACATTATTACTATTAAAAATTTAATTGTTCCTTAATCGTTTTTATTATCATGATTTCAGTCACCACTGATTTCATTTCGGTCATATTCGTTTTTCGTTTTGCTCTAGAACGATTTTTTCCTATTTGGATTCTCATACGAATATCTATTAATTATATGAGTTCCCAGGATTAGAATTATTTTGTCTTTTATCATTACTTCTGTCCATATTTGTTTCTCTAGTAATGTAATCGATCAAAAATAAGTTAATTAGGCCTACTTTGATTATATTACCTTTTAATAAAATGTACATGCCAAGATATTGTGGCCTAGATTTATGATTAAGAAGATTAAGCTTCTTGAGTACTATATATTATAAGTATTGTTAGAATAGGAATCCCTATATTAAATACTTAATGTCGACGTAAATTAAACATAGCAATAAATATAGTGTCAGCAATAATGTAAGCGATGACTGTGTCTGCCTTTTGCCTGTTCAACCTTATCGGCAGTCGTTTTCTAGCGAGCTAAGTAAATGTATCGAATATATTTTTAATTTTTAATCCTAAATCTTATATATTTGTGAATGAATAATAATATTCTATAATCCATTGGAAATAACAATAAACGTGTGTGATATAGTTGATGGAGAGAGGAATGATTGCTTCTAAAGCCAAATTAATCGTTTGGAATAATTTTTTTATTATTTAGTATTGGATAAATTCTTTTTAATACGATTTTTTCTAAAAATTTTGAGAATGTAGGGAATAGGCTAATAGGCCTATACGAGGAGGTCTGATAAGAAGATTTACCTGGCTTGTGGATTAGGATAACAACTGCGGGTTCCCAGGTAGGAGGGATATAAAATATAAGACTATAAGGTGGACGAAGAATATTATTGTAGATATAAATGAAAAGAAAGATTGCTTTCTTAGACAGATGTTTAGCAATAGTATTGGTTATTAGGTCGTGGCCAGGATTAGTATATTAGCCAGGACTATATATTTAATATTACTAAATGGTTTTTGTCATTTTTTCTCTGGGTAATCAAAATAAAAAAAAAAACATCAAAAAAATAAAAATAGTATTACAGACCAATTAAACATGGTTATATTTGCGTTGGACACAAATTCTAAATAAGCATAAAGCAACATTAAAATATAACAAACGTTTAAAATAATTTCTAAGTTTTTTGAAACATTTCGGGGGAGGGGGGGCTGTTACTCAATAGGCCCCCTCAATATACACCACTACTATTAGTAGCAGTTTGTAGTAGTAGTATAGTGGAAGATTTACGAGTACATAGTATAATCATATCTTACAGTATTATAATAATGCTACAGTGTCGTCTTTGTCGAGGCTTTTCGGACGATTAATAGTTGTAATTAAAAACAATGGCGGCCGTCGACGACCGGTTACGACGATTTATAAATGCGTAAATATGCATTATTATAATTATCTTCGCCGTGGAACGGTATCTCCATGTGTAGTACGGATAATATTGAGTTTGGAAACAAAACGCATTGAATTCTGTCGTCGTGTTTTTAAGGCGAGTAGTATGTACACGCCCGAGTTTTGCATAAAATATATTATATTATATTTTAAAATCTGCCTATCTAATATGGGCCGACCATATCATACCTATAGAGGTAACGGAGAAAAGGAGTTTAGGAAACCGAACTAAACTCGCGTGAATACAGAATACTGTATATAAATCCGAAAACAGTGATAATGTGTTTGGTGTTTGGATCATATTAGTCATAATCTGTTCCATCTAAATCATTTACATATTACATTGCCAAATTAGATGCATATTTTTTTGTTGTATAGTTTGATTAATGATAAGAAAAATTTAAAATTCAAAAATCGGATATCATTTCTTCTATATTTATTTGTCCATTAAAACCGTAATTGAATCCATCAAAGCATTAAATTCCCTTTCGATCTCTTATATAGAATTCAGTGAATGACAATCCTCTGTAAGTTCTAATACCATATATTTCTTGATTTCTTAAAAATGCTAGACCACTGTTTCGTACCTATTTAATTATATTTACTAATTCTTTTATTACTTTTTATATACAGTTAAATGAAGTATTTTTGGATTGTCGAGAGCAATTAATTCTATCGATATTCGAGAGCATATCATTCCAGATATGTAGTAAGTAAAGAAATATAAATTTAATTTGATCTTAAACACTAGCTCCTAACACTGTATCATTATTACAACTAGAATCACTTAAAATATTTTGCAAAACTGTATAAATATATTTTATATATTTTTAGAGTGCTCCGAGCAGAAGATAATGAAGTGCAGTGCTCGTATAGAGATCGGAGAGAATACTAGGGAAAATTACAGATTGAAAATCAGACTCATAATGGCTCAGAGTTCAATCTTGACAACGATGGATGGACAGAGCGAAATAAGATAATAGGAATGGAAAATGCGGAAACCCATTTAAAAGAAGCAGAGAGAAAATTGGTTATTGCAGCGATAAGCTATAATCTTAATTAGATAGAAAAAAATGAAGAAAATATAGATGTATTATTCTTTTAATTTAAGCATCGATAGATTTATTATTTAAATAATTACTCATAAGTGACAATATATAATGTATACAACCAACAAATTTATGATTAAAATCAATTGTTTATAAATAATCAATTTTTTTTTTTTTGTGCAGTATATATGTGTTTTTATGCTCGTAGTTATGATAAAAAATAAACGGAAATTATAACAAAATCGTTTGTAATATCATTTAATACAATTAAAAGTATTTATAGTTTGAAATTTCTTATTTTTATTTACGATATCAATAATTATTTTTTAAATATATATTTTTTTTATAAAATACTTATGTATCAATCACAAATTTAAATGTAAATCTTACCACATTGTTGCTATATTGTTACCGATATTACTATATCTTACCGCTCTATAGTCTAATTTATAATTGAGAATGGTTATATTAAATGGAATCAACCCATATCAAGCTGTTTAAAATAATTTATTTTAAAAGGTCTAAACCAAATTCGCACGACTACGGTTTTTTCATTGTAAATTACGTACCCAGCATAAAATAGTTAACCACAGTTATCAACTTCAGATAAAATTCTTAGAAATTTAGAATTCTGGACGTGTTTCTTTCTTTCCTTTTGCGTAAGTAATTTTTACATAAAACTTCTCACATGATCTATTGATGACATCGTCATTTATAGATGATTCTACTTAACTAGTCTCACTTAACTTTCCAAGTTTCAACTGATTTTATCTTTTTTATATTAAATCATTTAAAAACAATTATTCTGTCAACCTGCAACTTGTCCACATAATATTCAATATTAAATTACTCTATGTTACATCTAATATTCGTAAGCTCTGGTGATGAGGAGGGGTCATCAATATGTTACAGCTAACCCTCCTTTCCTTGTCAGATCACCATGATCACGCCGCTGCATATGAGCCCCACAACATATAATAGGAAATAAGAATAATCACGTCATTGTAGAGATTATAACGACATTTGATTTTAGACAATTCATAATATATACTTACAAATAAACACTACATAGGGCATTCACGCGGTGTATGCATAAATGTATATGCAGATCGTGGGAGACCGACGTGCGCGCTCGATTGAGATCGTGTAAATATTCCGACGTCTAAAAGCGCACGTTGTACGTAACGTTTCCAAGTTAAAACTGATTCGTAATAAACTATATACTCCCACTGTTATATAATTGTACTGTGCCCGTTTTTATATGATTTATCTTCGACAGTTGGACGCTATAAATCATAATATACAGTCGAACATCTTTGACGAACTTTTTTCAAATGAAACTTTCCATACGACAATTTTTTTTATTAAACCACGAAATAGTCATTACATTTTAAACTAGTGTTATTAATAGAGTAATAATTTTGGATAAAAAAAAAAAACGAGCTTCAAATCAAGCACTGGACCTGTACAACTATTATTTTTACTGTACAATTTAATTATTACTGTATGGATTATTGTTCGAGAGTTATTATGCGTATCATTACATATTATTATTTCATATTTGCATATATTTCGTACAACGAAAACGAGTTTTATTAACGAAATGTTTTCAAAGAACGGTCAAGTTCATTATATTTGGGTTCGACAATATACATATTATACACGTATCCTACTAGTGTATCATACCAACATGGGTACACACAATTACCGAACACCTATTACAGTACTGCAAGATCGAACGGTAGGTATAGGAGAATAAAATATAGAAGAAAAAAAATTGGACTGCAGAAGTTAACACACCATTACTTCGCGTTTGCATAGTTCATGTATACATATATACGTACTTATATATTATGTACGTTTCTTTTGGAATATATACTTTAATTGGACCGTACATTTTCCTTGCCGGAGGCGGCGGCAGCACCGCGTAAAAATACAACCGTATGTGTGTACACACACACCTGTTGACCAGTAGGTTTATGTACGCATTCGCCTCCTATATACATACTGCTGTTACAGCTATTATTACTAGATTTTAATGTACAATATATAAATATGTATATGAACGGTCGTATTTGTAATGTGTTGTGTTATGATGTGGATAGTCGAATTTATGGCTGATGATGATAATAATAATAACGACGAGAAGTCCGAGGAGGCGATGAGATAGGAACGGGAAGACATCCAACGTATACGTATGCGTGTGTATATAACGTACTACGTGTGTGTGCGTGTAAACGAGTGTTATATACGCGTTCCGGTTGGTATTTGTTGTGTACGACTCCCACTCGGACGAAGAAAATTGCATCCCGCGTGTGCAGCTCCGCTCTCCTGCCCGTACACAATATACCCGATATATAGTACGCCATATATTATACCAATTAAAAACTGTTATTTATGGCACGTGTACGCACATAGTAGAGCAACGACGAGTGTACCTACTACACATAATACTGTGTAACCCGAAGCGTTTTAAACGCTGCTCGAACGAATATCTGAATACGTACCTGGTATACCTGAAAACCGAACTTGTGTAAATATTACCACCGTTGTTGTAGACCCCGACCGGTAGGTACTTAAAACACGGTTTTATTATTGCGTTCCGCATCGGACGCCGTACCGCAACGGTGGCGAGAGGACGATTTCTACCCGGTGGTAAGCGATTTATACAGTACACGCGTATGCATTTATGAGTATACCGGTATTTATGTTATTATTTTATCGTAATAAAGTGTTGGTTGTCGGACAATATAAAATGCGAAGTTTTACTTTTTCCACAACGGATGAGTATATCAGTTATATTTTTTTGCGTTTACAAATATATTCATAATAAGATATTTATTACAGTAAATAAAACGTGAGAATAAGACTATACGAGAAATGGATGATAAAGAAATAGAGAAAGATAGAGAAATAGAGATAGTTATAGAAATAGCGAGAGAGAGAAAGAGAAAGAAAAAAATGATGAAGAGAAATAAAGATAACCGTATTTACTGATGTGCCGTGATTAAATACCCGGCGAGTAGGTAAATATTTTGGATATTTACCGGGTATTTACCCACTATAATATTTATCTATCAAAAATTTAGGTAAATATATTTTTTTAATCTGGTCAGGCTGTATACTTCTATTTTTACTACTGATAGGTATTGATATCATAAAACTGATACTACAATCATTGATTATAGAATAGATCTATTCTATCCCGGCGTTAGTCGCGCTATGGTCAAAATGATAACACTTTTTTTACATTTTATTTTAAGCATTGATATTCATTATATCTTTCAATAATGTTATTAAATATGATATTATAATATCCCAAGTATATTTAATTTCGTATATATAGAATAAATTAAGATAAATGTGATATATCATTAATTACGGTCATTTCGACCAAATCGCGACTAATGATGTTATTATTTTTATTATTACGACTAACATTGCCGGTTAAGTTATTATTAGACTAACGTTTCCGGACTTTATTTATATTATTATTTATTTTATTTATTCATTTAAGTTACTCATAAAAACCTAATATACAGTATACAAATTTAAATAAATTTCGTACATTGCTTTTTTAAATTAGGTACCCAATTTATATGTAAGGAAGTAACTTTAAGTTTTGATTTTTTTCTTTGTAAATAAAGTTATAAGTTATTAAAGTTATTATTAATATAAATATATTATTAAGTTATTAAAGTTGTATGAAAATTGATTTTTCTTAATAAAATTACTAAATGTGTATGAAACAACGTTTTTTATAATCATATTTTAGAAAATTATAACGCGGTCAAAAGGACCGCGGTGCGACCAACGACATAATATACACCAGCGCGACTATCGCCAGGCTAAAATCAATGCTAAAATTTATTCTACTACTAACTGATCAATACAAGTTCTAATCATCAGTCTTGGAAAAACATGAAAAAGTCAGGAAACAATCATAAAAAAGTATTGTGATATCCATGGATGGTTTTAGCATTAAAAATAAATGCACCTATCCAATTTATCGGGTAACCCGGTAAATACCTGGTATTTACCTGAAATTATATTTACCGGGTATTTGCTCATCACTAATGGTATTGCATATTTTGTACAGTTGATACACATATTATTTCGATATAAATAATATATAATGCACGTAGAAAAATAACATTCATGACTAATAATGCGCGAACGAGGATGTACATAAAATTATTACATTAAAGATCATAGTTTCGGTGAGAGATGAACGCGAACATAAACATCATTATTTTATGTACACATTATGCATAAATTACTATTATTAACACATTCAAGTCGCGGCATCTATACGCCGATCATTACTTAAACAATAATACTACGTATAATGTATGTACTGTACACTTAATTATTATCACTGGAAATATTACGTAGGTATATTTATAAACGATCAACAATTAATTAAAACACTTAGGTATACAAAAAAAAAAAAAAATCAAAAAAAAAGTTCTAATTACACTTAAACGTAAAAAATAATAATAACTTAAGATTTGCACTAAATAATAATTAAAATAATAATAATGATAATCGTGGGGTGTCCGACAAGTGATTTTTACCGATGATATTGCCTGCCTTGCACTGTGCGTCGATTTGATGTAGTGCGTGCAGGCGCATGTGCGCGCGTGAGACCGAGCGCTCTTCGCCTGTAGATCCGCCGTGAACATATAATGATGGCCGCGATTGATTGACGACGATAATATTGTATTATAATACGGATGATACACTGCGATCGCGGTGCGCGCCCGTCTGCGCGGAAGGGAAACCGAACGCGATCGGATCGTCGTAAACGTTTGTTTACCCCCGGCTTCTCTTCTGTTTCACAGACGGTACCGCGGTGTCGAGGTAATAACGTCGCGGTGCAGTTCGCCGGGGCTGTGCGTCTAGAGAAGGTGAACGGGGACGGTCGACCGTAAAATAATAATATTTTCAAACGATGTGCGTAGTATACGATTCGTTCTGAAAAATAAAAACCACGTTAATTATACACACACACATACATGTGTACGAGTATATAAACATAAAATTTTAAACAAGTGTATTAACCAGAAGAATATACTATTTTACGACTAGCAAATGTTCGTTATGTTAATGTTTTCCACCTTATTTTATTTTTTTTTTCCTCAACACGACGTAAATTCGGAACTGCCTTTATTGTGTACGTCTATATAATATGCGTGCGTGTCGCGTTTTTAATTGCCAACAAACCCCCTAAGACGATTCTCGCGCCGTAACAATATTTACATCTAATCGATCTTCGTATGACTTTTTTTTTCCCAACAATTATAATTATCTATTATCTGTTCTCTAGAACGTAAAACAATGTTTTACATTGTGCCTCGAAAACGTACACGCGACGGACAGCCGCCGTACAGTATACATTATAAGGTGTCTCTGTAACGGGTACATATCATTATAACGTCCAAACGAAAACGATGGAATACAAGGAAATTTACATATGGTATCCTTCCGATAAGCACAACGCGGAAAACGAATACGTTCTGTTCTGTAAGGTAACGTTTTTAATTAAAATCTAAATGAAATTCCTCCAGTCACTGAATTCGCACTACTCGATGAATAATTTAGGTGATTAATCTCTTAAAAAGACGGACTACAAGCGCATATATGGACTAATGTATGTCTGTGTACGCACAAAATTATAAAACTGTGTAACAATAATAGTAATGTGTATTTCCGTACACACGCAAACACGAATAAAAACAGCTCGGCGAAACTACCAATGTGTGAACACAATCGTATTCGACGGTTGTGAAATCTATAGACTTACGAGTAAAATAGAGCTACTCCTTGCACGAGTTGGTACCCAGTTAGAGAGGTAATTTTCCGAAATCCTGAATAGTTTTTCCAAGCGTAAGGAATAACTACCGAAAACTGTTTAGGTAGTTTCTAACTTAAATGCTCGCGGATCTATGTACGATTGTATTATGACATGACCACTCGATATTCTAATAGAAAAAAAAATTGTACAACAATAATAACACAGAAATCCGGTTGACAAAGAGAGATTTCAGACGCAGCAACTATATCCGAAAACCATATGGGTTCTCCTGCTCTCACACGCGTGCACACACTTTTTACTTTTAATTGCTATCGTTAATTCGTATATAATAACGTGTGTGTGTGTGATATTTTTTGGATGGTGTTCAATTGAAAAATGTGCTTAGGTAACGGCATGCGGGCGACTAAAAGTGTTCAAAACGCACATTACGTATACTGCAGCGACGACAGGCGCAATTATAGTATGCGACTTATAGTTGATACCATTTAAATTAATATCGTAATATAAGCGTGTCCTGAGGGAAAGCTGTTTTTGGATGTGTTAAAGTGAATTACAGTATAGCGCCCTCTAAACGTTAGTATAATTAATTTGACCTTATAAAAAAAATACATATGTATTATTTTCGTTTTATATATATTTTCAAAAACCTTTTATTTTTTTAAATATTTTTAGTTTTGTTTGTCTGCGTTAAGAATAAAGTCTGGATGCCAAAAATGTTGAAAAGTATTATATATAAAATTACACAGAACGATTTTTCAACTGTTTCGTCAGTTACAATCTGTTCGCGATTAAACGTCGCTTAAAATTTATGCAGCCCGATATATTGCAGGAATATGAGGTATTTACGATATAAATGATGGGTAACGTTTAAAAGAATATTGTACTACGAAAAGCCTTTTTTAGAGTTTTTAAAATCGTTACATATTCAATAAAATAAATGTATTATTGAGTTTTGTGAAATCAACCATGTGTTTTAAGCAATTCTCAGAAGTATGACTCATGATGGATATTTCTTTTTTTTTTTAAGGCTATAATGTTAAGATAGGAATTCAAAGAATTTTTGTACAGGTAGTACATTACGTTCATAAAAAATATGAAGTAATGATATGAAATATTTGCGAACAACACGTAATCATCGAATTTTGGTGTTTTTGATAATATATAATACCTAAACTTTAGATTCTAAAATGTAATTAAACTTTATAATGAAATTATACAAGGAAAAAATTATAATAAAATTCATAATACTTTTGACGTAAATTTAAATATCTCTAAGGTACATTTACTGGTATAAATTATTTAAACAAAATGTATTAATAAAATATAGGCATTACTCGACAGGAGAATATTTTAATAATGCAAAATAATCTTCTATTACGTAACAATTATTGTTTACGTTATTTAGTTACTGAAGTCGTTAATACTAGATTCTGAAACCAAATTCAGTTTAACTGATTAAGAGGATAGGTACTAAGTATCGAATATATACATTTATTGTCAATATATTTTACCAAATATCAATGTTTAAATAAGATATACAACCGCAATGTTATATGGGTATATATTCTGAAACACCGCTGCTATATGATGTAGGGTATAGTTTAATACAATAACCTATTTAAGTGGTACTCACGGGATTCTTCCCCCTAGAGTCCTGCATATTATGTGTATAATAATAATACAATTTTTGATTTTCAACTGAAATATTGTTGAATAAAATCTCGCCCTTCCTCATAAACACGCGGTTGTGGTGTAACAAACAACTTCAAAACACTCGAGCGTGTATATTTCAAATCATTCTAATACATTTAATTTTTTTTTAAATAATTTTAAACTAGTTTTACTGGTATTGATTTTAGATTTATACAGTTACATAAAATTATGAAATAAGTTATAAAATTCAGTAAACGGATGAATGAACTATGGGTGTAACATGTATGGGGTTATTGTAACTGTAAGAATAAACCGTTCATATAAAGGATTTTGAAGTTTTTCTCTTGTTTGTTCACTCGAAAGATATACACTGTACATTATACAGCCTTGGTTTATATACATACTATTGTTTTTATCTAACTTTTTACTCAGGTCGTGCGTCCCGTATAACCAAAGTTGTGTTTACCCCAATTAATTGTTTAAAACAGAACATCGCGTCGCGTATATAGCCGTATAAGAAAATATAATGTAGGCACTGTACCACATGCGTAATCAATTTCGTCATCAGTATGTACAAAATAATATCGTCACGGGTTTTACGAGTTTTCCTCGTATAGTTACGAAAACAAAAAAAAAGGAAAAAAAATAATCGTCATAAGTTTTTGGTCACCGAGTGTTTGTTTTTGTCTTTTCCAAACTCAGATAACGATTAAATGTACGGAAAAAAAAGTGAAGCCGTAGAGATGTGCAAAAGGGATAGAGCGTAACGTAGGTAAGTATAGATATATATATATATATATATATATATATATATTGTACAGCAGTATCCTCTTAGCGGTTATGATTTTTTTTTTTTTTTAATTTAAATCTACTTGCAACGGTAAAAACGTAATTTATATGCAAGTTTCGTACGCCTTGTATGCCGGTATTCGAGAGGATGTCTACAGAACGCGCGTATTATACACATGATGTTCGCGCCTACATAAGCACGTGCTCGGCGCGGGACAACTCACCTGTTTAAAATATGCATACGGGACTGTCGCCGCGTCCGAAGCGGCGTTGGACAGTGGTGATTGGCCGCGACGACGGCGACGGTGGTGGTGGGTGATGGTGGCGGCCTCGACGGTGATCGGGTGCTGCGGCAGGCGTCGGCGTACATCAGACGTAATCGGACGGCAGTGAGTTCTGCCTCTGATGGTGGTGGTGGTGATGGTGATAGGGATCGATTGGTTCGTACATGTCCGAGTAGTATGCGCTGCTGTGCTGGTCGAAAGCGTAACCGGCGTTGTGGTAAGCAGGCGTCGGCACCCGGTCCAGTTCGGTGTATAGCACGTCGTCGACGATGGACGGCGGTTGATGCGACCCGTCTTCTTGGCCGCCGATGACGGACGCGTACACCACGACCGGTATGGCGGCCGCCGCTTCCTCCACCGTGTAATGGTTGGCGCGCACCGCGTTCTGATTGGACGACACGGCGTCCGGCGGCAGCACGGCGCCGCGTTTCCGCCGGAACCACCGGAACCAATCGCCCGGGTTCACGGACAGTTGCCCGACGCCGACGACGCCACCGTCATCGCCGCCGTTGCCGCCGCCGCCGCCGCCGCTGCCACCACCGCCGCCGCCGCCGCCGCCGCCGCCGCCGCCGATACCACCGCCGCTGCCGTTACGTGCACCGCCACCCGACGGCCGTCCCGGTCCGGTGTGCTTCGAAGCGGTACCGTCCGGGCCGCCGGACCGTCGGACGATCGGTCCGGCGCGCCGGTTGTTCAGGTTGTTAAGGCTGTTCAGGTGGTTCAAATGGTTCAGGTGGTTCAAGTGATGGTGGTCCCCCGCCGTTATCTGAGCGATCTGCCGCTGATGGTGGTGCAACTGCTGATGGTGGTGATGGTGATGAACCCTATCCGAGGGCGGATCGAACGACACCAGACAATCTGCGCACACAACAGAATTAACGTTATTAAAAACACGTTAAGATGATGGATTTTTTTTTTTTTTTTTAATAAAAAAGGAACCACAACAATAATATTTTACGCTCGTCCGTACTACGGTATAATCACACCAACATTTAAACGTTAACCCGAGAAACACGCTTGTTCGTCCGCGATCGCTATATAACATTTTTTTTTTAAACTAAACTATGTTTCCAGTCGCGTGTTGATTATACTAGGATAATGCTTTTGTTTTTTACGGTATTTGCGTTCTTCCTTTTATTTTCCATTACGTTATTATGGTAAATACAATTATGGTATCATTGCTAAATATATTTATGAGGGTTTTATTTAAGTTCTTTCCGATTCAAATTCACACATTAAATGCATAAATACCTATTATAGATAAACGAAAATGATTATTCGTTTATGAAAATCCAATTGTTATTATTTTGTATAAAATTGTCTTTGAAGTAGGTATTTGTTCAAAGAACAGTATTCAAATATCTTATACAGAAGATATATCATCTGTAGAGTGGCACGCATCTTAATAAAACATTAACTAAACTAGGAATATATATATATACATGTATACAGATTAGATAGCGACCAAGAGAATTAGTATTTAATTTTGGAAATGTTTTTATAAGAACCAACATTAGATAATTCATCCTGATAACATAAGTGAATAATATAAATCCGATACCTACATAAAAAAATCTTTTGTTAATTAATTCGAAGTAAAATAATGATGTTCCTATAAAAACAAGTTTTTTATTTTACATAAGTTGTAAACTACAAAGAAAATTACTTTTATTTTTACGATCGTGACTTAATGATGTGTAAATTAAAATATTCTGTCTACGGAAAATAATTGTTTTATTTCTTCCCAATTATAATTAATAGATTACTCATAGAAAAAATGACGTTGAGTAGGTATACCCATAAATATGTACAGGTGCAGCACGGACAGAAGAATTCATTACTGTCAATAACACAACACATTTATTATAAACATTGGCGTTAAAATATTAAAAATAAATGAGCTTTTCGCTTTTCAGAGAAGATTACATGGAAAACACTTGACATTAAACTAAAATGTAAAAGAGAAAAATAAAATATTGCACGCTGATGTATTCGCCGTCAATTAATTTTCGAGTTAATGAAAAAGCTTTTTATATTAATTTTCTTGCACATAAGTATAATTAAAAGTTTGCCCTAAATACAGCCACAGAACAATAATACTCAACACTAGTACACACATTATTTTAGTTAAATATAAGTTTTTGTATATTTATACTCTATATATCCTTACGCTATACTACTATCCGGACATAGTGTGTACTTTGTTTGTGTCATGAAGACCACTGTTGTACAAATCAAGTTGATATAATTTATACACTACCAAAAGTTGTTCGTGTTCCAAATACCGATCGTATAAATCCCAAGTTTTTTGGCCGCAGTTTAACGTTCTCGGTTATTCTAAAATATTAATATCAAACCATCCAAAGCTTATGACAGCAATATTTTACTCGTATAATCATGTGTACTACATGTAAATGTTATGAAGACGCGGGAAAATCGTTTTTGTGATGATACAGCCGTCCGCACTTAACGTATGAAATGCATTATTATCAGGGTTCGTAAGTTCATGCATTTACATGTTTTTTTTTTGCCATATCGGAAAACATCCTCAGTAAGATAGAGATCCATTTCATAACAATGGTCATAAAAATTTTAAGTTTAATAAAGCGTGTTTTTGTATGTTTTGTGTGTATTGGCATATTTGGTATATAGTTAATTTTTTTGAGCTATTAGCCGTATATTATTTTATGTGAATTCGGTAAAATCATTTTTCGTGGAAGTTAAAAAAAAATGCGATAGATAAATGCTTGAATTTATTCTAATTCACTTTTCTTAACATGTTTACAAAATCTTAGTATATTATCAGTATTTTTATTTTTGTAAGACATTAAGTTTAATAAGTTAAAATCAGTACCATGGAAACAATGTTATTGCGCACCGCTACCACCCTCCCCCAATTGACGTGTGCATTGCAATATTTACCACCAATTTATTTTCGTCACAACATGTGTGCATTAATTGTAGCTATAATAAAATGTAATCGAAGAAATAAAATATAACTTTTAAAAATATGAACGGATAATTCTTATTATTTCAAAAAATGCTTTTACATTTTTTTTCGTGCATAGTTAAAATGTATAAAATACATATTTTGAATTTTTTTTGCGCGTATTTGAATGTATATTTTATCAAATGTTAGTGCATTATTACATGTTTATTTACGCATTTTTTAGTGCATGCACTTGCGAGCCCTGATTATTATATATTATAATCGTATACGGGAAAGCCGTTTTAACAACGTTCATTTTACGCATCCATGTATAGATATATATTGTGTTACTTATTATTATGTTGTACTATATTATATCGTACGTATTTATTATACAAGCGCCGAACGAAATGGCCATCATCATCTGAATGATAAAAATGTAGTGCGCCTTGGAAACGTCCACGTCTGACGTCCGATTCAGAACATAAATTTCGAATGAGCGAAAAAAAATATACAAATAAAAGAATACTGGATTACCTCTTCGTCGGCAATACGCTAACGTATTAATTTACTCGGGTTAGTATTGTTCTGTCAGCGAACTAAATAAAAAATGTGTTTGGGATACCTATCCTTATTTCCACAGCTATATAATACACACTCGCACTCGCGTATGCGGTATAGAATTTGTGCGCCATGTGGACATGGATATGTTTTATATATATTAAGTATACGTAGCGGCCGTATTGTTTTGTCGGGTGTACATTTCTGTGTTGTCGCCACCGACTTCACTACACTCCGCAGCCGCGACCACTTGCGCTGTTTTATCATCACGCGACCTCATAATATTTTACGGATAAATATCTTTTAACAATAATAATAATCATATTATGTGCATCCGGAGCATATACTCGTATATTATATATTATACGACGTGCGTGATATTTCACTCTCAGCGATAGATCATATCCTCATGTATTCGTATATGTACAACGAGTTTAATTCTTCAAAATGTTCTCACACGATCTATCGGACACCGTAGTGTAATATATTACATAGGAACATCAGGAAAAGTTAAATTTTATTACGTCCGTTTCAGAATAATAATATATAAATGTATATCGTTATTTAATATTTATTGTATACATGTATGTGTGCGCACGGCAATGTTCACGAAACGAAAAATAAATAATTCTGGTGATTTTTTTCTCCCTATACCACATGATGTGATTGCGTGTTAGTCTTAGACGGGTAATTTTTTTTTTTTAAACTCGCGAACGCGTATTGCATAACATCTTGCTAACACAGTAGATTTTTTTTTTTCATTGTTGGAAATCATAAAATGTACTGCACCAAATGTTATTTAGGTTGATTAAAGTTGAGTGAATATAGCATTTATTTTTATTTTTTAATAAATAATGTTCATATTTTTTAGTAGCTTTTTACCGAATTAAGTTGGTTCGAGTCCACACTAATCGCACAAACTATAGTTCCAATATGTACTATTACTGTAGGTGCTAATTAATATTACAGCGTTCGGTTAACCGTTAGAAGTACGTAACTAACTACGTACGTAGTACAAACAGTTAACATTTGCGCTGTGAAAACGTTTATGAGAATTTTAAAAATTCTAACCGAATGAGTGTTTTTTTAGCCGTTATTATTTTGTACGCGAGCTATGCGCATACACTAAGAGAATAGTATTGTACAAACATAACACATGAGCACATATACACGCGCATGCACGCACATCCCTATATATATATATATATACACACCATGGAATTTTTACCTCACAGATGGAGTAAATTAAAGAAAAAACACAGTGTCAATAATAAAAACCATAATTCTACCAGATGTGTTCCAATCGAGTGTATATTCTGGGAAAAAATAAGACGGCCACATTTTCAGTTCCTCGAATGCGGCATCGCGACCGACGTTCAAAGGATAACCGTGTCGACCGATCTAATTAAAACATCCAACAATGAACTAAACTAACCACCGCATATTATTCTTATTTATTCGGGTTTCGAGGTCTATCGCAAAAATTTAGCAATACTCATCTTTTGAATCAAAATAGTAGCACGGTATATGATTATAGTATTTTTTATAAAATTCAGAAACAAATAGTCGATTAAGTTCAATACAATAATATATTTTATATCAAATGCTTATATGTTTAAACTCGATCTTTAGGGGTATTGTATATTATAACATATCATGAATCCAATATTTTTTATAGAAGCATCATGAATTATATTATATGCATTTTTTTTTAAAAAGTTAATTTAATACTTATAATTATTCACTATATCAAATTGTACAATAGTTTTCAGTACAAATAAGTAACATGTATAAAAATTTCAACCTAGTAACAATTATTGAAGCACCAATTATTATTCAACAGATTATTGGAATTTACCCTACAAAGTTGTTAAATATCATGGGCGTAGTTGGGTATAATGATCTGTGAGGGCTATATAGGACAAAAATATGTATTCCAAAAACTCCTTACGTTAAACTTTATTTAAATGGGGAGATAATGACTCCTTCTTAACCTGTAATTTTATTTTACAGTACATAAAAGTTAAAACAATACAAATTAAAATATTAAATCAAACAGACCATTTATGTTTTCTGAAAAATATTGAGTATATTTTTCGATTCTATTGAATGTGATAAATCTCTTTATGAAGTACTGACAAGTTTGTGAACCTATGATTTTTCATGATATTTCTAGTCCGATTCTTCATTCACTTCATTACAAAAAATAAGCGTTCGTATGAGGCAGATGATAAGGTGATGATATGGTATATTCAGTACAGTTTGTAAAAGTTTATAAAAATTTTAAATAATATTATCTACAGTATTATGTCATCTATTTCAAAGTTTTCTTTATTTATCATATTTTATCATCTACAAATAAACATGTTTATGAAATATGATAAAAAACAAATTTATATTAGTATGTAAATACAATAACTATCAATTAACATTATACTACTAATATTTGAAGCATTGATGAATTTCAGGGAAAATCATAAAAAATTTTAAAACTATAATTTCGGATCAAATTTAAAATGAAAATAAACACCGTAAGAGGATTATAAAAGTTTTTGTAGGGGATGTTGCCCCCATAACCCTATGCATACTATGCCCATGGTGTATGATAAATAATACATAATAAATTAAGAACAATATATATTGTACTAATCGTTGTTTAAGTCTTAAGTCTAAAAATGTGAGAAGAAAAAATATAGCACAACATAAAGTACATAAAATACTGGCCTCAGTTTATACACACAAATGGTCTTTTTATAACACGATGTTATTTACCGTTATGGCCTCTTACACATCAAAGAATATTTATTTAAAATTTTCTTATAATCAAAACAAATCAAACGCACGTTAAATTAGATATTTGAAAACTAAATTTTAACTATATAGGTACGAATAATTTTGTTTCGTTTTTAATTCTGAATTAACGTTCCCAATGCATTACATTATTATACATATATTATAGCGCGTTACATACTCCATTTTTTTAGTTATATTATATTATTATTTTATATTTTTTACCTATAATACTACTTCCGTACAGTTCATTAAGTGATACAAATATAAATACAGTATGCACTATAAAAGACTGATGGAAAACGTGAAATAAATTCTACAGGACTAGTCACTAATAATATTTGAACGAACTGCTGTGTGCAGGTACGAACGAGCTGAAGTAAACCGATTGTCGTACAATAATCTGTACATAAATGTTACTATCGTAATGATGAATAAAATTGCTCACCTGGCCGTGACGGCGCTGTGCGTCCAGAAAGTCGCCTGAAACAAAAAAACAAAAAATATAAAGTAATGTAAAAGAAGTGTATGTACATTTTTTTATTTCGATTTTTTTTTTTCGCAGACGCGCGTAATCCGTTTTATTGCGCGCGTTGTTGTTTGTCGATCGACCACCGTATAACGTAAAAAACACACTCGTGTACTTATACACCCACGCGAAACCGTCACGAAATACAAGAGTTCCGTCTATAAACGGGGCAGACGACGACGCGCGATCGCTATCGTATACTCCGTGTTGATCTTGTAATGCCACATTTCATCTAGGTATTGTTTTATCGCACTAGATCGACGTCCAAGCACACAGTCGTCCGCGTAATAGATCATTCCATAGCGGTTCTTACATGATCTTACCGATCGGTTAACGTCATTTTAATTGGTCGTGTACACAATAACTCGTGTTGCACGCGCGTCCGTGCATGTGTGTGTGTGTGTGCGCGCGCACAATTTCGAAGTATAATTTAATAAGTAGGTTTACGCGCAAGTATTTTGAAGCTATGTGAAGTTTTGTTGTGTACGTAATACATTCGTCTACAAATAGTGCATAAGTGCATTATAATGTATACAGAGCACACGCGCAGGGTTATCGGCGGGGTGTACCATACCTCGGTACGCCAACGAAGGCGACGACCGACCGACCGACCCGTATCATTATAAAAACATTACTGCCGTAAAAACGTCGCTCGCCGGAAATTAAAACGAGTCCCGAAATCATAATTATTGTGTATTAATTTGCACGACCTAGTGCACAGATTTCTTCGTGAAATATCTCGGTCATGTCAGTCTATAACGGGTACCTGTATAATTTACTTTGGACATTTTAATTAATTAAAAATTACTTTTTTATCGCCAAAAAATCTTACGTTGATTTAACCCTTTCCGAGCTTCATTTAACCGCACCGCAATAATATCTCAACTCCCCTCTTCGGTCAAACTCGTCGACTCAAAGTTATTTTTAAGACCAAATTTTAAAATCACCAATGGGCGGCCGAGTCATGGCGAATGAGTTAGTAGCGTAGACGTCCAATGGCACTTTTATTCGATACTAAAGTACCTACGTCACACAACTCTACGAATGCGTAACGCATTTACGTTTTTAAAAAATGTTTAAAGAGTTCATGATAAGTATGAAACACGAGCGATTTTATTTTTACTGTGAAACTTTATGTACTAAATCTTTGTAATATGCGTATTTTTTACGAGACGTCTGGTTGAGTTTAATTAATATACAGTGATATATAGAGTTGAAGTTTTACTTCTCTACAATTTGATATACGTTAGTAAATAATCTCTCTTGTGTTCAAATATAAAATAAACGTAAAAAACATTAAACTTACCAGTACTTAGCTCTTTTTCCCGAAAACGTATACAATATACATACATCAAATCAGCACAGAATATAACTTTTTTAACGATGCCTGAGTATTTTAAAATTGTAACCTTCATTAAAAGTTGTTCTCATTTTTAATGTTTAGAAAGTCAAATTCATTAATTTACTCTTTTTTAAACTTGTATTAAAATAGTTTTACAAAAGTATATAAATATATATTTTTTTTGGAAATTGTTATTAAATTAGAACTAAATAGTTTATTTTTAATTTATAACTTTCAAAAATAAATATTTTTTTTCCATCTATAGAACTATTGAATTTTTGTTTTCTAAAGAAATGTATTTAATTAACCTTAAGCTCAGTTAAAAATTGTGTGTTAACATTATAAAAGCATCATAAAATCATATACGATGATATAATGATGAATTAATGATGAATCTGATGATTTTAAAATACATATTATAATATGTATTTTGAAATCATTAAACAATATATTAAATGTTAAATCACAAAAAAATTTGATAAATTTAACGACTCATTAAAATATAATGCATTATATTGTCACTTATACTTGATAATTCAGGGAATATGAAATATTTAAAGATTATTCAACATTTATCTGTTAAACTGCAGTGAACGTTTGAGTAACCCGGGCATTATTAACGTTATTTTTAATGGAATTAAACAGCACTATTATTTATTTTTAAGTTATTTTTGTTAACGATATTCAGTCACAACATATGTGGCTATTAAACGTAAAATAACATTTGTTGTTTTGAAATGTTTAATAAAACGGAAAGCTATTTACATAATTTCTTATGTTTTTACTTCAAAAATATTATTGTCCATTCAACCAATGAGGAATTAACCACAAATGGGTTTGATACATGTTTTATTTTATGTACGTTTATATCTTCCATTTGGCACAATAATACAAATGTTTTTTTTCGCGATAAACCTTGAATTTTTTTTATCTTTAACCACCCATGATGTTGATTTTTTTTCATAACCTTCATGTTGAATTCTAAAATTCCCTCACTCGCTAATAGTTTTCAAAATTATTTTCAAAGAATCCACTATTTGGTCCGCATTCATGGCAATTTGTTACACATTGAACCTCTATCGGAAATGACTTTTTGTATACATAATAGCCTTTAGAAATCCACTTTTGTAGTTGTCGTATAAGTTATTAGATGTAGGTAGAAATGCATTTTATCCTTATAATGGCTTACAACGTTGTTAAAAACGCTATTGACATTATTCCTACATCGTTTCTCTTCAAGAGCCACTACACATGCGTGGGCCTTTCTTGCACATGCTTTATTAAAGAGGTTTTTGAACTTTTTTCTCCGTCGTCAATGTTCGATCTTATCACATTGCTTCAACAAGTTGCCACCTATGCATTTTACATTATAAGTAAGCTATTGATCGTATAAACTATATTTTATTATCTATTTCCAGAAAGCGATCTTAACTCAGTCTGATATTTCTCTGCTAGTGGTAAAGTTATTGTAGGTGTTTACTTTCATTAGTCTTAAAGACTTGTTTTCATGATTTTTTCGTTTTTGTTAAATTATTGAATATTTCGGTTTTATACTTTGATGAATTAATTATTTAAATTTTAAACGTACCAGTAAACATTTAACATAAACACCCCGGTGTTTACTCGATTCTAAATACTCGTGGGTGAATGCATAGAGCATAGGACTTCAAAAATATAAGTTATTAATTATTTCATCTTATAATTTTGGGTGCGAACACATGGATTTCACTTTTATACACCGTCGTAATCAGTTCGTTTCATCTATGAATGTACGTAATATATAAATGATAAATAATTCTTTCTTTTCGGTATACCCGGCTAGATCACAGAGTCGAATCAGATATATTATAATAACCACGTATAATGTATCGCTCGTTATACGTGTATACAGCCGTCAAATATAGTCGGGCGTGTAGATTGCAGCGGGATGTCGAAATGTGAAAAATCGATAGATTCGTTATGAGTATAACGTATTATAATCTCGTTTTTCGGTCGGAATAATTATTACAGACGTATATAAAACCGATTTATTATTATTATTATTATTAATAATATTTATGCACGGATCGTATACAAAACGTGCGCGTACACAACGATTAAAGCCCTCGAGTTAAATGTGGGCGTACCTACGAAAAAAATAATAAGGAACAATAATATTAATAATAATAATAATGAAAACGGACTTGCCACCTGTTAAAAGCATGCAATGACCGCTCTTACTTTACAGAAATCGTAAGATATCATTTTAGAATCCGAAGGAAATATGTAAAACACACATATTGTACGAGAAAACCGACACGTGGCTCGCACGCATACGCTTAAAAGGGTGCAAATTATCCTTGTACACGCGTATTGCATTCACACACACATATATTGGTAGCCGTGTTGAAACAATGTTGTGCGTCGTGTACGCGTGTACGTATTATGTATTTTATGTATAAGCGTACGTTATTATACTCACATATGAAGAATCTACTAACGTGTACAGGTATAAACATAAAACATAGGTACATACAATATGGTTGGTCGCATTAGCGAGTACTGACGTTTTACAATATAACACACACACACGCGCGAGCGTAGTACGTGTTTACGCACATACGAGTGGGCAAAACCGCAAGAGACTGCTGCGCCCGTGAGCGTGTCTGTAAAGGTTTATACCCGTTTAAACGATCCGTAACCAGAATGTACCAGCAGCATACGTACAATATACGCGCAGCACAATATTGAAAATAAAAATTTATAATATTATGCACGCGTAAACGCACGCGCGTATTCGAGTAAGGGTATATTATATTATATAATATATGCACGTTATAATAATTTATACATTTATTCGATCGTAAAAAAATGCTCGTAATGATTATTATTATTGTCGCCGCGGTCGTATATCTCTCTTTTTCTACATACGCACACAATATCGTTGTTATTGTTGTTTTCGCTGAGCGTTAATATTTACAAAACACCGACACCATCATAAAAAAAAGTAAAAATGAAAAAAATCGCGCTCGTAAACCATATCCACTATACACTTCTTCCTCGACTCACATGTAAGCGCGACGTCGTCCGTCATAATATTATATGCGCGTACATAAAGTAGAACGGGAAAACAATGTGCGGATCGCGCGTTGACAAAAAAAAAAAAAAACCAACAATAACAAAAACGCGTAATCCGTGTGCGTGTGTACAAAAATGTAATAAAATATTATATAGTCGAAATACTCACAGTTTTAGGTGTAGGAAGACGACCATGAATAGGGCGCCGATCGCGGCGGACAGCAGCGACACCAAGACCAATATCATGGGCCACGTCACCTCAGCAATGGGAACTGTCAACATACCTGTCAAAACACAACAATAGTATTTTTTTACACGTGTCGTAATCACATTACATTATTTATTGGATTATAAATCGTACGAAAATACACCGAGTTAACCATGTACCTGCGGGTACGTACAGCACCCCGCGTCTATTATACGGCGGTGATACAATAAAAAAAATAATAATAATATAGATACAAAATATATAATACACTCTTCGTCCGCGATAGCCGTGCCTAACGCAATGATGGCTCGATTATTACACGGGGTAACGTCTTCATTTTTCATAATACATAATAATAATACGGCACGACTATCATTGTCACCTCCGCCCGGTAACCGGCGTGGGAACACGGCGACGGTGTAAAATAATATATAATTTCGTTTTGGTCGGCATTTTTTTTTTACCATTATTATTATTATTATTATTATTTATCGTGTCGTCGTCGTCGCCGCTGTCTCGCACACCCGCATCGGATTCGAGTGGCGCGTCCTCAGCCGCTACCGATGCCGTTTTATTTATTTATTATTATTTTCTTTTTTTTTTTTTTTTTTGTCATTCGACGGGTCTCGCGCGCCGCTCGCCTACTCCCGTGTTATTACGCTGGCAGACAATGCGCGGCCGAGCCGCGGCGAATAGCTGACGGTTTTATTGCGCTCGCATGTCGTCGTGTCGAATTACGCTATACACGCGCGTACACACAATTCCGGAGACGGCCAACACGGCCGACCAGGATTCTCCTCCCACCCTCGTCGACATGTAGGTACATACATTTACAGGCGACAACGTCTAATTCCTACGATATACGTTTTTGTGGTATTTTATTATATTATAAACCGAATTTTACGGTCGGTCGAAATTTCACACCGAATATTGATGGATTTTCCCTAGCGTGTTCCCCCGTCGCCGGTTTCGTCGCCGCCGCGCGTCATTTCCTTTACGACGCCAATTTTATTGTAAGTACGCGTATAACGCTATATTTGCGTATTTATGAACGCACATACATGTATAGATTTCACAAGCATAGACTCAGGATTTCAATCTGAAAGCCATTAAATATTTAATCGGTTAAAAACTAAAAAGATTTATGTATGTGTATGCGCACTTGTTTGCGTTAAATTTTTTAGACCGACACTTGATTTCTAGTTTAAATCATAACATTTTAAAAGAACTGTACAACGAAACGAGAAGACATTTTGATATGGTGAAAATGTTAATTAAACTACCAAATATAATAAGCTCAATCAATTTCCTATGGTTTCAAAAGAGAATAAAATACCAACATTTTCGTCTCTAAAACAAATTCCTAACTCCGCCACTGATTATTACTTATTAATAATTGTATTATTCGATCCACTTACATAATTTCTTTCGTAATTGGATTTTTCAAAGAAATATTTTTACGAAATAATGTTGCTGCAATATGCCATATATGGTTAGGTTAGTTACTGACATCAACTGAAAATTATCTCGGGAAAGTTGTCAAAGTTATACTGTACTAATTGATTCGTTATTTCTGGACAAATAAAGTATTATTTTTATTACCTAAATATTTGGTAGTGTTTTACTACATAAATTAATACATATTACAGTAATTTTATTTCCCTAAACATTCGAGCGCTATTAATGTGTGAGAGAAGTGCATTTATAGAAGTAAAATTCATGAAATATGCATGTAAATATTTATGCTTTTGATTCAATAAATATTGAAATATGATGAAAATGTAACAAATGTAAACGTTTTTTATGAATAAATTATACTCTTTTGAACTTTCATTTATTAGTTCA